AGAGAGTTAAATTTTAGTCATATTTCCATGTGTATGTAAATGTATTGTATTGATGAGTTGCAATGTGACAAAATACAAATAACTTAATTGCAGGGTTGGAGGCCACTGTAACCATGTTTTTGCCTTGTTGTACCTGCTAAATCATTGGAGTATGTTGGGGATCACGGAGATCCCAGCAGATCAAACTTGTGCAAGTGTGCCGCAGCAGTGGCACAAGCCACGAGGTGCCAGTATTGAACCAGAACCAGAAATGAAATGTACCTTTGTCAAAGCCTTATCTGACTAAGGTGGCAAGCGAAAACTGGCTCCAGTAACTGGTAAACTTTATGATGCAAGGGGTAAACATCTCAAGTCAAATGGGTGGAAGCAGCAAGATGTGATGGAAATGTGTCATTATCTTTCAAACGAAGAAAAACATTCCTCTTTTTCATACCTGATCAGTGATCAGGAATGTTCAACAGCTACACATACTGTTTTTGGGAATGTCCCTCTTGGTTCAACTTTAGGGATCAACTGACTGATTTAAAGGAAACCAATACAACCTTTGCTTTTTATAAACCAAACAATTGTGTAACACTTCCAAGGGATCAGCAACCACAGGGGGTTTTGGTTTTTCCCAAGATTCCAATTTCTAGTCCATGCAGTCAGCCATTTATTCCTCCCTGTAGCTTTACTCATACAATGTCGGATCCAATTTTGCAAAACATTAGCATAAACATTAAACGAGCTTGGGACCTCCAGATCAACACTGTTAGTCAAGCTCAGGAGCCCACATGGTTTGAAGTGCACCATTTTGAACGAAAACAATCGAAATTACGTCGAAAGAAGAGAACGTAGCCTAACTCCGCGGTCTCTCGCTGCAATTCCTTTGCAAACACGAATGTTTGTTTACCCAATGTAAGTCACGTGTTCGCCCTATGACGTAACAGTCTAAAGAGGTCTATTACGGCAAGGTTTAGGTCTGAGATTTCCCGTAAAGACCTCACTCTCAGTCAAAAAGTAGTTAGTAAAAAAAAACCTTGCTGAAGTGGACTACGAATTACGCTTTTGTTTTACTCGATAACTTTTGTTTAATATATAATTACTCTTAATTAATTCGAGTCAAAATAAAGTTTGTATGTAAGCACAGGACATCTACAGCAAGCTCGCCTCTCGTTTGACATCGACAGTCAAAATGGAGAACCCCATTCCAACAGGTTAAATAAAGTTTCTAATATTTCAAACAGGAATATAAGGGCCGCAAAAATCGTTTCTTGGTAACCGACTCTCTTATTTGTTTGCCACCAGGGAAATCTAGAGATGTGGGTTGACATCTTCTCCACAGAAGACGAGGAATTTACCAATAGCAAATACGGTACAACTAGTCTAAATTGTTTTGATGTCGGTTTCTTTGGTTCTCTTAGCGTTAAGTCCTCTTGAATTATTTATTAGTTGCACAACAAGATGCTGCTGGATGTTTCAGCTCAAGGTGTTCGCGTCTTTAGTCAGAAACTTGTTAAGTTGTTGGCTTCTTCACCTTGACCTTCTCCAAAAAAAAAAAGTTAACTGGAGACGCTAAAGAATCCAAAGTAATGTTAAATGCGAAAATTCACGTTTCAGGGATTTGGAGCTAAAATTCAATCTAACCCTGATCGTAATTGTTGTTGTTGTTGTTTATGATTTTTGTGCACATCTACTTCTCCTCACATCATTCCCTTAAAATTTCCTTGTTTAAGAGACATTTACTCGGTAAACTTAAAGAGGATTTCATGAATTCTTAGATTAATTTTTATAGAGGTGTGGCGCGATAATCATTCAGTTACAATTACATAAAGGAGCTAACTAAGATATTTTGCTCTTTTGCATGAAATACGAAGAGCCCTCGTCTTTTGGTACGGACCAAGCTGATGGCAGCCAGGTGTTTACTATCGTCAAACAGTCACCCCATTCTAGACAGGTAAAATAAAAACTATTCGCAAGAGACTGTTAGTAGTAATTTTGAAAATGTGACCGAAAATTCCGAAAATTCCATGAAAGTTTCTAAGCTGCTGTACCGTTCCTAACACAACCTCTTATTTCTCGATGGTTTTAAATTTTCAAACATCACCGTAATGTAAAAATGTAAGGACATTCAAACAGCGTCCAGTACGAAAAATATATAATTGCCTGTGTTTTTGTTGTTGTTGTTGTTGTTGTTTAAATCAAACCTAAGAAATTTAACACAAAAACTTAATCGTATGCTTTCAAATCAAGCAATATCACCGTCTGTTGCTCAAACATATTAAATGAAACTAAACATACCAGAAATTCACCAATGTAAACCTAGCTTTTCTGGCCAAAAGAAAACATCGTTTGCGTTTACTGCTAAGAGATTCTAAGTTAAAATTAAATCGTCTAAACGGTAAATCAGAGCATTAAACGAAGTTGTTTCATTACATTTGACGTTATCGCTTTAATAGGAAAGACAAGAAGCAGAACGAGTGGAGAAATATTCCACAGACGTAGGCCTAATACTAAAAGATCCAGTTACCATTCTTCCTCGACAACCTTCTAAGTGAGTTCACTTTGGTTTTGCATTAATGGCCAAGCGAACATTCTAATTTATTAAAGCAATAAGTAAGATAATGATGTTGCAAACGATTAATGCAAGAGATATCTTTTATACCGTTTCATAGAATATACAGTCAAACAGAACTCAGGAAAGCCCGTTACATGTCGGCTCGACGGTATTACACTCAACCTTCACTCAACCGCGCACTGCGTTGATTGTGCTTGCCACTGTATAGCATTGCATAAAATAATTAACAAATAAAGAAGCCTAAGCCGTGTATATTACACTGTGATAAAACTCGACGGGCATTTGAGAACACGAGGGAAATGTAGAAAACACGAGCCGCAGGCAAATGTTTTCTACATNATTTGAAACTGTGCTGATATTAGAAACATTTCGCTTACCACCGCCAGAAGAAAAAAACCTACATCTTTTTAAGTTGCTTTTCCTTTTTACGAGCATTGGAAATTTTGTGTAAAATGAGGCACCCTGTATATGATATTGTGCTAAAAGAAAAAAAACAATTCGATAACGAGCATTAAGGCAATTTTGTCTACTTCTTAAGTAACAGTACTATTCCGCAAGCTAAATTGAATTTAATATTTTTTGTAACTTGTACGTATAGCTGACGTCGGCGACGTTTGAAATCAGGGTAGATTTGTATATTTAAGACACAGTTTTCTTTTCAGATTTTGGAAATAATTTTGAGTTAAAATTTATACCCCCTAAGATTGTTAAGATTAAGTCACTTTCGTTCTTTAGAAACAATTTTTCACCATGCATGTTTTAATTTAGATCCTTAGACGGTAACGGAAGTTTCAACTATCGCATGGTTTTTCCTTTCGAATACCTTCCTATTGATAAGAAAATTGTCATAAAGGAGAAGGTAAGAGTCTGTTATATCATCAACTAATTAATCTGATATCTTTGTTTTTAAATTACGTCACTGTTTTGCAGTGTCTTCTCGGCATGGTAACAAGCAGTAAGGAGAGTGTCTAGGGACTGATCTTGAGAATGTGAAAAAGAATAGTACAGTGGAGATAAATAAACAGGAGCCCCCGTTTAGCGAGAAAATATGCTTGGATATTTGTCTGCAGACATTATCTGCTCAGAGAAGCGAGCTTTAAGGAACAAAAAATGTCCAAGGACAATTATGCGAGCATGTTTTGGAGCCAAATGGAGGCTCGAAAACATGTTTATTATCCTTCAAATATTTGTGGAAACACGCGCGGTTTTGAAAATGAGTTTTAGTTGAGGAATATCCAGTCATTTGACGCGCTTCGACTAATCGTGTGCGAGAAAAAATATCTACTGGATTATAATCTTGATTCTCAGAGGATGGAGGAATGATTTTTCTTGTGCCTTTAGTGACGGATAACGACTCGGAGGACGAGCCCCGCTTACCTCCTTCCTGCCGGAGAAAAAAACTTCCTCCACATACCTTCAGTTCATCTCTCTCGTTTACTCTTTTAGGCACCTTTTCCCGACCACCCTCGTCCCCTGCTCGAGTTCATCCTGCAAAGCCACTGAAAAGTGTTGTGTAATAAGCCGCCCTTGCTTATATATAATCTCATGTTTCTAACGTGAATTCCCTTTCACCAGGTCCATCGTTTGAGTCGTCATTTGAGACATGAGCACATATCGCCAGTTTTAAAGGTGCAAATCTGGGACAAAGACAGGTTTACTAGACATGACTTTATAGGTAGGAATGTGTTGTATACAGCTGGAAGGCATAGATTCAATCCAGTGTTTGGCTTATTGGGTTTCAAACCAAAATCAAACTAACTAACTTGTGGACCATGTTAGACTGATTATGCATGTGTGTTACCAAGCACACACCTAAGCTCCTAAGGGGACAGCAGTCCTAGATTCCCTTTGCAACAAGAAAAAATGTAATGCCAGAATCTCGTTCACTGCACAAGTGTCTGAATCATAATTGTGCACGAGATTCACCTAAAAGACACACTGCACGTTGTACAAGACACAACTTTATACTCTTCATAAGTAACAACCTGACTCGGTAGCTAACATAAGTACTGACAAAATAAACGTATTAATTAACGTAAGCTACTTGTTCCGTGATTTTTTGCCGTAGGTGACTTGAAGCTGGATCTGTCCAATTTAGTTCGCCCTTGTGTTGAACCCAGTCACTGTGGAGGAACGAAAGACCCCAGGACACATAACCAGTTCGTGGATTTGTTCATTCAACAGTGGATATCTGGCTGGTGGGCCTGTTATGATAATGATGATGATGATGATGACAAACGGAAAATCACGGTAAGTAGGCCATATATTTTCTAAGGAGTAACTATCATCAACAATCGAAAAGTCAAAGCAAAGGAAGTATTACATAAACAGAGACCTAAGAAGGCCCACAATCATTTCTTCTTTTATTAAAAGAAATCCATAAAAACAAACAGATCCTGGCTTTTGTCCACACGATACCGCAAAAAAATCGGCGAAAGACCCAATTTCAATTCGACACTGATACTTATCCTAGTTGGTTTTGATCATGTTGTTGTTGCTGTTGTTTTGCTTTATTGCGTTTCCGGGAGTGATCATTTCTAGGCGCTACTAGTTTTCTCGGTTAGTACTACTTTTTTCGCCATTAGTAGCTTTTATTCATTTTTACAACAAAAATATCTAGAGAAGAAAAAACAACATGCAAGAAAAGCAACATTACAAATACTTACAAACTTCTTACAAACAAGCAAAAGAAAGTAAGTGATATAATCCAGCAAATACTTGCAATTGCTTCGCGTTCTTATTGGTTCATTAAACAAACAGCCGTCAAATACTTATATTTCACTCCAGAATTAGAAATAATCAATTAAAATGTTATAGATTAAAAACAAAAATGATAGGGGTGATGGCTACCCGGAATAACTCTTAAAAGAGTTAATAATGCCAGGCAGCTAGTTAAAACGGAAAAGATGTTTTACATGTTCAGGTCAGTGACGCAAAACGAGCAGACATAGACGCACACACACAACAAAAAATTAGAAATTTACAAAGTTATTCTAACTACCAGTGTAGACTAAAGTTCTCACGTTACAAAACAGAACACAGACAATATTAATCCGGAGAAGCAATCAAATATATCTAACGACACGAAGCGCGGGGGAAACGTGTGCTTACGAGACACGATTGATAGTTTAGGTTTTACCTTTGATTGGATGACAAAGTGGGGCTAAACCAAAGAAACTCCAAATTACGTACCAAGATCAAGTGAAAACTGTTCTCAAATTCGTGTTATCTTGTTGCGTTACAGGGTAAGGTACAAATGACTTTGGAGATTTTAAACGAAGAAGAAGCTGAGGAGTATCGTGTGGGTCTGGGCCAATCAGAGCCCAATCAATATCCCAAGCTTGATAAACCCATGTAAGTCATGTGATATATAAGTAGCTATTTACAAACGGAATGCAGTTCAAAGTCATTACAGCTGAGTACATTATATTTTATCGTTATGAGGGTCTGGAGGAGGGTGCTTGATTCTTAGTTATCGTTTGAGATTTTAGTTATTTCTAAGCTATCAAGTTACTTTGAACAAATTTCAGTCAAAGACGACTTGATTAGGCCCCGAAATTCTTGGGATGGTCTAATCAATCTCGGACATATTTGTGCGATTTTCGAAACTCACCTAAAGACCTCACGATTCTTTAGAAAATCGCCAGAGGTCATCGTCAAGTCGGAACTACTCGGACATTCTTCAGTGATTCGTCGCGTGATGTTGGTTTGAAATTTAGAGCGGTTTTCAATTGAGTGTCGAAAGTAATTAGACAATTACTTTGGTTTTGGTTTTGGTTTTGGTTTTACTTCGTTTCGAGATTGGCTGCGTAGTCTAATTGGTAAGTGATTGGTTTGGTTTTGGTTTTACGATACTCAATTGAAAACCGCTCTATTCACAGCTAAAATCACAATGCTATCAATATTTCAGTCGCAGACATTATCATATTGACAATCTACGAGCGTACTTGGTTAGTCGAAGAAAGAAGATGTTTTCGTCCTGTTTCATGGTCTTCCATGGATATGACCATTGTTTGTATACGACAAATCATGATAATACGACTACACCAGTGTTATTTTAGTCGTGGTCGGTGTTTGAGTAGAAGACTGGGAAAGTCCTGAGATTCCTGGACAATCCTCTAATTATCAGTGTCCCTCAAGCATACATGCATATATTTGCCTTAGCTTATTTTTTCTCTTGTTCACTACCACAGCCGTCCAGCTCATTCGTTTCTGTGGTACCTGTCTCCACTCAAGACTTTGCGTTGGATCATCTGGAAGAACTGCAAGCGGACCATTATAAAGTGGTTGATCATCTTCTTGCTGATCTTGATCATCTTCTTATTCATATACAGTGTTCCGGTAAGTACAGTGAGTCTTGACTGATGGCGTAATAAAAATCATATCATCAGAGCCGAGTTCTGCTTAATGCTCTTCTAAAATGCTAAGACTGAACGCTTTGCCATCTTTAGGTCGTCCTCTTTGTTTCGTTTATGGGTGTTTTTAAAACTGTTTTTAAAACGTTTGCGAGCATTATTTCCTTTTTCAATCAACTTAGACGTTGGGGGAAAATCTAAAAGTCCAATTAAAGGTTTTTGAGGAGTTTAATGGTACTGAGGACTTAAATTAGTCTCTCAGTTGCTTTTACACTACTTAGAGGTCCTAGAGTCCAACCTTAGTACAAAGTTTTATTCTATTCTATGTTTTATTGTATAAATCTATGAAAAAAATTTCCGGTTTGGGGAGTGAAGTTTGTTTTGCATCCTGTTTTTTGTATCCTGTAGATAATAACACTCTTTTGTCGAATTTTTTCATTAACATGGTCTACTCATGTTTTGTTCTGTTTTTGCAATTTTTTTTTTGTTCCATTTCAGAATTATGCAGCGAAGAAGGCGCTAGGTGTTTGAATGTCTTTATCTTACAACTAGAAACTTCACTATCCCTTGATAACATAACTATTCGTGAGATAACGAATTATGACAAATCTTAGATACAGCCGGACTGACCAAGTAAGTGACAGTTTTTTGGGCTTAAAATCCTCCTAGAGGCGTAATAACCATAAAGGGAGGTGCACCACCACTTGAGCCATGGCCAATTTTTGTCGTCAAATATTGGTGGTAGGAACAACCTGACTGCAAAGTCAACCTGGACTGAATGAGTCTCGGAAAAATTCAATTGTTCCTTCGTATACACATAAAAAATGCCAATCCCGATAGTTTTTATGAAAATCAATGCAGCTACTTAACTTTACCCTATTGAGGCTCTAGTAAGATATATAGGAAATTAAGGGTAATTTTAAGAAAATCACCGGGGAAATAGCTTGAGGTGAATGAATTTATAGCTTGCAAATTGTTGTATCTCATTTACTAAGTTGCTTTGTTCAGCTTCTAATAATAAGCTCAGATCATAGAGCATTTTCAGCCAGAAAAAGCGATTTTATTCAAAGTTTCATTTTTTTATTAGTGACATCTGAGTTATTACTTACTTATCAATAATACTGTATGATGTAATCGCCTATTAAATTGTATTAAGACTAACTTTACGATTAAAATTATTCCCGTTAAACGAAGTTATTTCTGTAGTTGACTTTAACTGAGTAGCTGTTCAAACTCACCAGGGAAGAGTAGAATATTACATAGTAGTGACTACCTTGGCTAAGCGTGGCCTTGTGCATTTCCTTGTATGTTCTATCATACGCTCCTCGCGTCCGTCATGCTATACGCACCTCAGCACGGTTCCTCATGCGTCTTCTTGTCGTTACACAATAGGTTCCCTGTGCATTTCTCTTGCTTTTCCCAGTCACTTTCGCATGCGTTCCTCCATCCTTTACGTTACGCTCAACCCGTGTGTCACCCCGAGGGTTTCCGGAGACTGCCCTATTATGTCGCCCGTCACGCCTTGCGTACCCTTTGCGTATCCTTGCGCGTTGAAGCGTGCGTTTCCCGATGCCTTCCCCGATGGGTTCCCAGCGGGAATCCAGTTGTTGATTTCACGTCTCTTTTTCCATGCCAGGAACGTCACGCATTGTAATGACAGCGCGTGAACAGTTCACTAGAATAGCAACTCTGGATATAGCATTCTTTTCACATTCGGGAAATGGGTACGGGTCTAGTAGGAGAATAATCAGGACATAATTATTATTTTTGCCTTTGGTCGAATTGCTGGCAAAAATTAAATGAGTGCTCGCTTGCTCATGCTCGCAAAATGTTTGCAACTGCTTGCATGTTTGGATTCTGGAGTCTGGTAGCTTTTAGCTTCTTCTCGTGGTGTGGTTAGAAAGATTTACATCTCCTTGATCGATTGAGCGCCCACCCACTTACTCACGTAGTTCTACATCAAACAAGGCATAATTGGCTGTAAGCTGATGGGACTGGCTGATCCGCGATAAGATCTTAAGATTTTGTCTACCTTTGCGCCTATTTTCCTGTTTTGGAACTTCAGATTACTTGCAGTATTTTCTAAAGTGCTCGCTGCTCACAAAACAAATTCGGTCACTGCTCGTTTTCGCAAAAGTAACCGGGCTGCTCGCAGGGAGGCTCCGTTTTTTAACTATATCCTCCACGTATGTTTTTTCGTGCAATCGTTTTTTTTTTCCCTTTTGAACCGAGTTAGGGGTAAAAAGACCTTTTAAGAAAGAACATCAAACATTAACCTGACTGACCGCAAAAATACCCATCTAGCGGAAGCCTTTTTCCATTTAAAATCCGGACTTTTGCAGGTCTTTGCCTATTGGATACAAGCTGATAAGGAGAGCTTAAATGAAAAAAGACATAACAAGAGGGATTTGTTATGCGATAAGGTTTTATGTCCTTTGTTAACAGTTTTTTTAACCCCTAACTTGATTCAAACGGAAAAAAAAGAACATTGTAGGGAAAAGATAAATGGAGTCCAACAGAATCATAACATCGGAGTGCGGGTGCTTAACACGATGCCTTTCCGAACCGAAAAAAAAAAAAAAAAATGAA